ATTATTATTATTATTATTATTATTATTATTATTATTATTATTATTATCTTTTATTATTAGAGTTTGCAGACTCTTTATGGATTGCTGGCTGGCTTAAAAGAATACAAACAAACAAAAACACACTCAAATGCCATAAGAAAAGCAACCTTTCGGAGGCAATGAGAGTTGCAGAACTCTCCACCATTTTGACCCATATGTCTGGCAAAAGAGGCAAGTTCCAAGAGCTCTTTTGAACCAACCAAGGTGGGGCCAGACATATCTCAGAGTGAGGAAAGGGAGTTTTCAGCTTTATGTATTTATAAACCCTATTGAGTTGTTTAGGAACACTGGTTAGTAACTCTTACTTACTAAAGAGTCACCTGATTGAGACTAAGGGAACCTGTAAAAATGTAAGACTGTATATATAGTACTGGCTGTTAGGGGTGGGCTTGATTATCCATCAGTATCATTACCCTATAAGTCTCACAGTTGTGATAGAACGATAAGAGTAGATCTTTATTATCCTTTGGTGTGTGTGCATTCATGTATGTACCAGCCTTGGTAATTTTTGTTTTATTTTAAGGATTGAAAATGAGCCCAGGTGCAGTTAAGAATAGCTGATACCAAACAAACAGTAATTCACACTTAACATACGGGAAGGATAAAGCAATGTCATGTACATAAGCAAAAGACAACTGACATTAACGCAGCAGGCAAGGTGATTACTTAGCAATCTAGTAACTATATGTGATCATTATTGCTGGTTGGTGGGTTGTTTAAATGAGTACCTGAAGGTTAAGTAATAGCTGTAGGAGGGAGGAGAAAGGAATAGGGGGAGAAAAAGAAGAAAAGGAAAGGAGGTGATAAGAAGGTAGGCAGACGTGCATGAGAAGCTATGTGGATATCTTAGGAAAGAAATTATTTTGTCTGAGTTTTAGTAAGTGATACTTATGGTCTTTGATTGTATTTGTTAGAGACTCCTGGGGAATAATAATAGATTTTGAGGGGATTCTTTTATTTCTTTAAATCTCCTACTCTCAGTTAAATGTTTTCATAAAATATCAGCTATTCTGACCTGTTTTAGCCTTTTTTAGCCTATTTTGGGTCAATATGAATAAGACATTCATTGTGTAATAAACAAGGAGATATTTAAGTCCACAAGGTTTTGATTTCTCCCTACGTTATGGTTCAGAGTCTTGTGTTGTAAACAACATGGGAAGGGCTATTCAAATTAGTGTTAAAGTCAGCTGTTGTTTTCCAGAGTGTATCCAAAAGTTCTATTCAAATAGCTTTACCCAAAATATCTTTTGACTGTTAATCTGTTATTATGATCTAAAGTATAAAAACAGAGCTTTTGATGTGAGATTTTGATTACCTGAATATATATTCACTGTGAGAGGAGCCTCAGTAATTCTGATATAATTGCTACGTTTTTATTTTCTATGGACTGCTATATGAAAATATGTAACAAAAAATCTTTGTAGATTTGTAATAATGTCCATTTTATTTGTTTTTCATAGAAAATGATCATGAATATATATTTATATGTATGAGGAAATTGTTCTTTCATAATGTGTTATCATAATGGAATAAATATGTATTTATCATTTTTGATTTTTGCATCAATATGATTGAAAAGCATATTTATTATTATTTAGTTGTCCTGGCAATAATGGTCACTATCTCATTGAATATGTAATTGAGATGTATTCGCAGATTTTTATAGATGCACGCATAAGTGGAAATTTATTTAGGGAATATGAGAACTAAATATGTATTGCTATCAATCCAATTTAATAGATTTGCAATTATTGATTTTTATTTCTTAACTTGTAGCAGTGGTTTCTCAAGTTTGAATAACTGATGCTAAACTCAAATTTGTTCCATGGCTTTCCAAAATTTAACTTGAAACAAAATACAACATTATTTAAATCAATTTATTGTACATGTCCAATACAAGGAAACTGCAAAATCTATTTTACTTTTTAAGTAATTCAGTGCAAGATGAAAAGTCGAATATGATAGTATATTAGATGATACATAATTTGTTAATTACAAACTTGATCTTAAAGTTTCCTATTTTGGTAGTTATTGTAATGAAGTATGTTTAAAAACGTTTTTATTAGGAGTCCAATATTGTAATTAATCAACTAATATTTTAAAAGCTGATTTAAAATTGGCATTTGAATTCAGAGCATGTTAAAACCTGCCCACATGAGGGTAAGGTATCTAAATGCCTTAATTCTATTTTCCCTTGACCAGATCTGTTAAAACAGAAGTGGAAGTGCTTTTCTTTAAATTTGTCTTTGAGACTGGCAGAAAATTTAAAATGAGGAGAATTAATGAAATTGAGTAATTATTCCAAACTCTACTGAAGTTAATAAAAATACTTGCTTAAATTTTCTCTACTGATATTTGTAAAGGTAGATTTACAAAGCCACCATTATGTGAAAATGATCAATGATTAACAAATATACTGAGTAATAGAGAAAGAACACTTTCTTAGTATCTTTTTCTTTTTCAAAATTTAAAGAAATCAGTTTGGTTTTCTCCCTATATCTGGTAACCTTGTGTTTTCACAGCATTACCAAATAAATTCGGAAACAAAGATGAAGTAATCAGAAATAAATATTCTAAACTTCCAGAATGATTAGAGATCATAATGGGTTATTCCTTGTTTTCTTAAAATAAAGATTCAGTTTAAAATTAAAATTAGTAACTGGGAATTTTAATATCAAATTTGTAATTGATTTTGTTGATATCTTATTATGAATATTACTCAAGTATCCGACATTTTGCTTCCGTTTTTATTTTTTTATTTTTATTTTTGCAGAAACATAGCTTTTAACAGTAGCAATAACATTGTTAAATTCTGAAATGCATTCAGTTTGTTTTCCATGTGTAATTTTGAAACAGTTGGGAAGATCAAACTATCTTCTTATATTTCCATCCTTTAGTTTAATAGGAGAAATACAGATTATAAATTCTTCAATGCAGATTGCCTTATCTTGTTTTTCTCCTTATAGCTGCTTGCTAATAGAGATTAATGCTTACACATAAATCCTTTTTTTTTCTTCCTCTCTTGCTGAAGATATTCTTTTTGTGTGTGTAAAGTATTGGGAACTGTAAGTGTCTGTACACATATATTCCACGGACATAATAACACTAAAAGGTAGATTATTGGTGGGTCTAATCATTTTTTCTTGCATATACCTTCACCGTACAGGGCATGCAGGCAGCCTGATATTATGAAGTAAATAATGCAACCAGAGGTGGTTCTTTTTTCTTTTTTCTGGCAGAACCTTCCCAAACCAGTCTGACCTAGCACCTAGCAATGTTCTTGGCTTTGCTCAGCAACAGCTTGGGAACCCAAATCTCCTTCTGAACCCAGATGGCAGTGTGTAGCCATATGTCAACAACATATGCCACCCTGATTTCTTTTTTTTAAAAAAAAATAATCACATCAATTCTGCCAGCTACACAAATGGATCTTAACCCATTGTGCAGCAAAGTAGTCTCTTCCCTGCCAATCCCATTTGTCCTCCATGGACATGTGCCTGCCCAGGCAGCATCACTGAAAAAGTGTAATTATAGATGCTATAGCAACATTTTTTTTTTTTTTTTACCAGGCATTGTGTTTCAGATCCATTTGTCGGTCTTCTGTTGGCCTTGATGTTGGGGGGGGAGAGAGAAAACGGGGGAGAAAGTTTATCTATATTTGAGTTTTTGATTAGAAGAAGCAAATGGGCTTTTAATTTCTTCTTAGAATCTGTTCACTTTCAAACCAGTTGAACTGAATCCTTTAGAATGAACCATTCTCAAATACAGAGCTGCAGGGATTGCTTTTCCAGTCTCCATACTGTTAATTGCTTTTGCTAGTAATCCACAGCCATTCAAACAGAACGACAAAATAAATATAAATTTGCTGTCCAAGTCAGTATTTCCATAGTAAATATCCCAGGTACAATAATCAAAACTAGCTTCTCCTAATATTAATGGTACAATTCATGGTTAAATTGAAATAGCCTTTGCAAACAGCAGCCTATTTTGGATTAAGCAAAACAAGGAAGGCTGCACTGTATCCTTATCGTCAACTGAAGCTTCAGTTTTCAGAACTGATGTTCCATTCCAACATGTTAAGCCGCACATTTTCTAGATTTGTCCAGACATAAAATCCACAGTGAAGTTACATATGGGTTTATTCAATAATTATGATGAGATCCATATGCAACAAATTGTAAAAAAAAATAAAAAATCGAGTGTCTGATGGATTAGAACAGACATTTTCAAGCCAATTTTTTCAAAATTCAATTTTGGATGAGAACCACTTTATAGTAAATGCAGGAAAGAAGAACCCTGTATATTTTGTTCTGTAGAAAATTAGGTGGTAAAAGACCATTATCAAAACCTTGATGACTAAATGCTTCATGACCTTTGACAAGGGTTAGCAGCTACTGAGGTCTTTGTGGTAAAAACATTGGCTTCTGACTCATATCCTCTACATATTTTCCTTTTCCATTTATTTTGAGCATCCTGTTAGTTCTTGTGAAAACTACATTATTCTGACACCGGGATCAGAAAAGGGCTTTTATTTTTTCATGTGGGTTAAAAATCTTCTGACATTTTATTTTTAAAGATATGTACTCTATTTTTGTAGCTTCTATAGAAGCTCCCTTTTTATAACCCTGTAATCCCTTAATTTGGGGTAAAGTCAGAGCAACTGGATGGAGTTGAGCATTTACTGGCCAAATGCCCTTCCAGATGCCAAGCTACTATAGAAGCTGTTAATCCCTATCTTTGCATAGGTATACATAGATAGGCACTATAGAAAAAGCTTCTGTCTTCAGTAGGAATAACTTATATGGCCACAGAATAAACAGTTTCTTGCTGTATGTTTGTATCAATAAAGATACATGTTGAATATGCGTTGAGTGTGTGAGAGTGTAAATAATATTCTGAATTAGACTAAAGAGTTCAATCAGAAGCAAAACCCAAATAAAAATACCTGTTTTCAGTGTGGGTATAGCTGTGTTGATATTATAATATTAGATCAGACTTAATAAGAAAATGGAGCATCAGTTTGTACACATACTAAAGTGGAATAAAAGATTTATATACATAATCCAATACAGAATAACCTTCTCATTACCTGTGCTTTTAGAGGGCTCCATTGAGTTTCTATGGCAGGAATACTGGCACCACTGAAATCAATGGTTATATTCCCATTAACTTTTTATACAAGCAAATAGTTTGAGGTGTGAAATAAGAATTATGGATGACTTAAACAAAAAAAAAAAAAAAGCCAGAGTGAAAGATGACTCCTTTTACACAAACTAGAAAAATGTTTATAAAACAATAGAAATATATTAATATAATTTGCTTAATATAAAATCCATTTATTATTTGATTCTTGTGACAAAGATTTTGGGATAATGCAATTGGATTACTGTAAAATTATTCCATTAAAACTAGTGATAATTCCAGTACCCTTTTGGTCATTAAATTGCAGAGCCAAACTTTGGTTGTAAGAAATGGAGGTTGCCTCATTGACTTCCCTGAGAAATCAAGCCTGACACAACATTGCTTAATTTGCATTGGTATTGATTTGTCCTGCAGTATTAAAAACCTTGTCACAGATAACCAATGATGTCCATTCCAGGACTAACTTATTTGTAGTACATCTATTAATAACAAAGTGAGAACGTAAGAAACAAATGCACTGTTCTTAATGCAGACCCACATTTTCTACTCCAATTTGATATTTCTATGCACATGCACACACACACACACACACACACACACACCTAAAGACCCAGTGCATTTGATTGCATTTGAGATTGTTTTCTTGCCATCCTTTGTGGCTTTTTTCTATACATATATTGATGCTGAGGTGGCAAAATAGGTTTCTTATTGTTGATTCAGATCTACTGCAGTTGGTGGCTGGAATCCAAATAGCTACTTCAAGCATCCTTAAGTGTTTTTAGCCTGGCCACTAGAAGTTTTATTCCCTTTTCCCTTCTGAAAAATAGATCAACGTACACATTGCAAGCGATTTTTAAAAGTTCCCTCAGTTTCAAAATAGACATGGTAGAAATTCAGGCTGTACAGGGAATAGAGAACTAGTTGAAAATTTTGAATGTTTCCTTTTTCAAAAATTTGGTCCACAAATATATGTACCCTCCCCTTCAGATGTTAATAAAAGTTTATGTTAATTCAAAATGATGGATGGAGCTTGAGAGTATTGATTCTTCTTTTTCGTTAAAATTATGTGGGACTGCTTACATAGACATAGACACGCACTTTTTTTCTTCTATTATTCTCTTTTCCTAATTATTCTATAAAACAAAGTAAGTAAAAAAGCAAAGGTCACAATGAATGCTTGTAGAATGAAAACAGCATATTGTAACATTTTTTGAGTATATTTCCTTTCAGTATTTTTCTATTTGAAAATCCATTAAGTGTTAAGGAACTACGCTAGAAACTGTGAGATCAAGAGTTCTAGTCCTATATTAGGCACAAAACCAGTTTGTGACCTTGGAAACAGATGGCGGCAAACTTCTTTCGAAATACCTATATAGGAAAACTGCAGGGACTTGTTGAGGGAATCACCAGGAGTCAATACAGACTGTAATAGATATACACACATCTTTCCATTTGAATAAAACTGTTTCTTTATATTGGACATTCTCTCATACATCTAAAAGAGCATCATTCCATTTGCATTAACCAGAACTCAATGGGTTTTAACCTCCGGCTAAATATGTATTGTAGTACAGATAGTCCTCAACATATGACCACAATTGAGCCCAAATTTTTTGTCAAATGATACAGTTGTTAAGAGAATTCTACTCTTTTTACAACTTTTCTTGCCAGAACTGTTAAGTGAATTACTGCTGTTGTTAAATTAGTAATATGGTTGTTAAGTGAATTTGGCTTTGCCATTGACTTTGTTTGTTAGAAGGTCACAAAAAATGATCACATGACCTTGGGACACTACAACTATCATAAATAGGAGCAAGTGGTCAACTGACTGAATTTTGATCATGTGACCATGAGGATGCTTCAGTCTTAAGTGTGAAAACCAGTTGTGCCATTCTTCTCAGTTCTATTGTAATTTGAACGGTCACTAAACAAATGAATGTAAGTCAAGGATTACCTGTAATATGTCTTCTTCTCAAATGTAGATGGATACAATGCAATGCACATATGCCTCATTTATGTTTGGCTTGATGATTTGATTTAGCTGAATATAATAATTTATGCACATAATTTTTCATTTTATCTTTTTTATGTTGTATGAAATTCAGTTACCACCCTTTTTTTCCTTCAAATTTTGCTGTGCTGTACTTTTAATATTTTCTCCCTGGAATGCTGCTACAATAAAGTGGCTCATTTTTATGGCTCAACTTCTTTAGACTATTGCTAGTAGACTTCTGCTGTACTTACCTCTGCTTTATGCCTGAGTTAAATGCTTGATTCATAATAGTAGTATTATAAAATCTATGTTTTTAAATTTAAAAACCCTACCTTTGTAAAGTAGTTCTGACATGAAATATAATTGAAATCGCTGATGTTCACTCAAGTGTTTCTGGAGAAGAAAAAATGAAATATTCCTCTAGGAAATTTTAAGTTACAATTGTTTCAGGTGTAAGATGTAGGCAAAACTAACTTCTGTGTATTGTTGCACCTAGTCCAACACTACTTCTCATCTTTACAGGGGAATTTCCTCACTCTGAAAGGTTTTATGAATATTAAAATCTTCTCCAGAAAGAATGTTAAAGAAATAAAGCAAGTCATATATAAAATCCATAATGCAAACTGAATAGATAATTCTAAAATCTTAGTTTAGGAACTCACATTCTGTATTTTGCCAAACAAATTTTTATTTTGTTTAGCAAAATTTTATTTTATTTTGTCTGCATATGTCTTTCATAATATGTAGCAACTTCATTACAAATAATTATTTCAATTGCTTTCTGGGTACCTGATGAATAAACTATATGGCAAGCTAAATAGAAAAAATATGATAAATTTAATCAGATCAGATAATCAGAGTTGGAAGGGACGTTGTAGGTTATCTAGTCCAGCCCCCTGCCCAAGCAGGAGACCCTACACCATTTCTGACAAATGGCAGTCCAATCTCCTCTTGAAAGTCACAAGTGATGATGCTCCCACAACTTCTGAGGGAAAGCCAGAGGTGGGATTCAAATTTCTTAACAACCGGTTCTGTGGGCATGGCCTAATTTGTGGATGTGGCTTGGTGGTCACATGACTGGCTGGGTGTGTCTGGTTACTGGGCATGGCTTGTATGTAAATATTGTAAATATTTATATAAATATTGAATTTTTTATTTAAAAAAGAGCAACTTTTATCCAAAATCAGGCAAAGCAGGCAGGAGTTGCTCACAGAATCACAGAATCACTCAGAGATCTACCTTTTTGCAATCTATTGCCTGAGTCTGTAACATAAAATAGAAGCTTTAGTCCTAAGAAAGGTTCAGCTCTGCTTTTAGATTAGCTAGAAAGCAAGAAATCCAGTGATTTCCTGCTTTCTAGCTAATCTAAATCTCCCGGCACAGCAGAACAGCTGTGAAAAAAAGAGAGGAAAAATAGCAACTTACCAAAGACAGGCATTTCCAGGTTAAAATTTACATATACTGTGTTTGGAGTCTATGACTTGGTATTCCATTGCAAGATCCGTAGATTTGAAAAGGGAGGAAAAAAAGGATGACTACTTTAAAAAGTGTCACTTATTGATATGGGTGGCTATAGAAATCAAATAAATAATTAAAAAATATACTGTATAGCCTCCCCAAGAGTCCATTGAACATAACAGGGCATAAATCAATAAATAAAATAACCCATATGTCTCAAAATAGTTAGTAGGACTCTCTGCAAAACTGGCTATGTCTTTAAACATAATGGCTACAAAGAAAGTATCTTCATATATTCTTATATGTGCATTTTTCTCTTGAACTTGTAAGGGGAATAAAAATTCACTTTCTGAGGAGATGGCATAAACTGTATATCTGATGAAAGAAGATAAAGTTTCTTTTTCTCTTCAAATAATTTTATTTGAAATAGGAAAGTTTATTCCCAAGATTTTAGTCAACAAGGCACTGAAACATGATGAAAAGATGGAAAGAACAGAGAACTTGCTGCACATAATGAGAACAAATAGATAGAACAGAGGCAAGAGGAGAAAAATACTACATCATTATAGCCTTATTATATAGCTCATGGTAGCCTTACTCCTATCATGATCCATGTGTATATAATGAGGTTTTATAGGATCTATCCATTAGGAAAAAAAATCAGGATTCTTAACTGCATGGGGAGACTATATGGACAGAACATATCATTGCTGTTCACATATAATGTGTGAAAATTAGGAGTTTCTCTATCCCTTTGATACCATTTAATGGTTATCCGGATTTTTCCAGCCCAAATCAGTTAGTCCAAAGTTAGATGAAATTCGTGTAGCAAAATATCCATTCCAACCATTATAATGACACCACGTATTTCTGTTTATTGAATAGAAGACCATGCATACCTGTTTTTGTTTTTTATTACAATTTGATCAATCTCCTGTTTTTTGTCTTGCTTTTCACTGCTGCTTTCTCTTAAATGCAAAAAAAAAAAAAGACATACCATATTTCTTAGTGTTGATGGTATGTATGTAGTGCAGTTCAGCCTAACTGTTCTACAGTATATATATTAATCAGTGTCTCTTTGAAGTGTAGCTAATTCTGATGACTTTATGTATATTTCTGCGTACCTTTTTGGCAATGTTATCAGAAGGACCAGGGCAATCCAGATCCTTCTGGAGAAACTCTGTGTGGTTGCTAAGATTTAACTCCAACTTAGTAGCGCATAATCAGTTCATCAATAGAAGTTGCCTGCCATGGTCAGTGGTGGGATTCAAAATTTTTTTACTACTGGTTCTGTGGGCGTGGCTTGGTGGGCGTGGCAGGGGAAGGATACTGTAAAAACTCCAGTCAAAGGTGGGATTTGCCAGTTCTCCGAACTACTTAAAATTTCCACTATTGGTTCTCCAGAACTGGTCAGAACCTGCTGAATACCATCTCTGCCTTCTTGTCATTTTTTTTAAAATTTGCCAATTTAATGTATAACCCCAAGGTAAAAAATGACAGAGAGCAGAAATGAGAAGGTACTTTTCATTCACCATTTCACTATAGAGTTTTTCCATCGACCAAAAACAGAGTGTAGGGATATCTTCGTATTTGAGGAAATCTGCAGTACCTTTGAAGCAAGGAAGAGAAGAGAGCTCTGGGGATAAGTGAATGGAATAGAGATAAAATACATTACACACGTATGAAGATGACCAGAGCCTTCTGACTAAACTTTTTTTTTAAACAGTGCAATGGGACTTTTCTAGTACTGTTTTCCTCCCATGTCAAGAATCTTGTTATTATCGCTAGTCATCCTTCTGCTTCATCCTGATTGTATAGTTAGGAAAGAGGTCAGCCCTTTACCTCCTCATACAGTTCAATTGAAGCCACAAAAAGAGATGCAACTTCTTCTTTTCAGATACTAATGGGTTTCTAGATGCCTGTCTTTGGTTAAATATTAGTTAAACGTTATTAGGGTTAACAATTCAAGGCCACAGGAGGGGAATAAAATTTGACCTTATATGAACTGTTAGTCTTATACTGTACAAACAGTGATGTGGTTTGGTTTGGGAAGTGTTCATACTCCAGCGGCAGCTTCTATCTCTTCATGTAATGGCTTATTTTGCCCTTTTGTCCTTTGTACATCTGTGACTCTTCCAAGACAATTGGCAAAGTGTTACGAAGAACAGATGTTAAGGAATTGTTCATCTGTTATCTGTAAATCCCACTAGTGAGTCACTTGTAATCACAAAATGCTTCCAGGAATATTTCTTTCAAAAATTCAAATTATGAGCTGAAAGCAAAGCAAATACATAATTTAAAACTATGGTCCTTGTTTGATCAAGGATTACGATGTATGTTTTAAAACTTTGTTACGGTTGGTGTTCAGGTACATTGTGATTTGCACCATCTTGCTATGTGTGCTTTCTATTGGTGCAAGGTTGGAAGAGAAAAAGTGATAAAAATGTGTTTGATTCTGACAGGAAGAAACCTTCTTTGTTACCGTTAGGCATAAAATTTGGTGGTGTTTTTCTGGACTTGGAAATTGTAGTTTTCCCTTTTGTATTAAAAGCAAGAGGTACACAATAAGACAACATACTGTCTTTTCTGATCAGAATGTGTTTAAAATCCAGCTTCCATGATTCCCGGCCATTTTATGCTAAATAAAATAATTTTAAGATTATTTATGCACAAAGGTGTTATCTCGTTGATGCATGCCAAGTTTATCTTCCCGGCTATTAGCTGTGTTTGGCACTAGTGTGCCTGAAACTGCTTGTGGAGATTGTGTTTAGTAGAACATTGTGTTTAGTAGAACATTGTGTTAAGCATCTCATAACTTTAACTACTTTTTTCCCTAATCCACCCAAATCCTTACATCCCATTGTGTGTTATGCCTCATATTTGGCTGGCTGGCTGTCTGGCTATGGGAGCCCAGTTTCAGAATGCTGAATTGTGGTCTATAACTATTTTGGCTAATAAAAATACATTGGGGGGGGAAGGTTGTCATGATTAATGTCTATATTAGAAAATGTTATAGACCTTACCAATTATTAATACTCATAGCATCGTACAGTGCTTATACTGTATGTATTTGTTCACGTGCATCTTTTATTTGCTTTTTTCTTAGTTTGTACAAAGTAAAAGAATTCTGAATGTTCTATACTTGCTATGCTGAAAGATTCAACATGCAGGAGAGAGAGAAAGAAGGAGGGAGGGAGGAAAGGAGGGAGGGAGAATGAAAAAGAGGGAGGGAGGGAGAGAGCAAGTGGCTGACCTCATCTTCTGTGCCTGCCGGTAGCCTCAAGGGACTGTTCTATGAGTCCAGGGATGCCAAGGCAGAGGGCTTTTCCTTCTGGCCTTGATTCCTTGTGTTCTCAAGCCAGAGAGACAGTGGCTGAGTGCCACAGGGATTTCCCTTGGACTTGGAACACCAGAGCAGGAAGCTTTAGCAGGTCATTAAAAAAAAAACTGAAACTGAACAGATAAACAGAAGCTTCTCTCAGGATAATAGAGAGAATTCATCTGAACACAAAGCACAAGCAATTGATTACTTAAGCTATACTTTTATGTAGTGGAAAGCTTTTAATCTGGAGAAAATGTGATTTGGACCTTCCCCTGTTGTATAGGCATATGAATATGTATATACTTTGGTTATCCCTAAAGCAGTCATCTGAATTCCCATTTTACAGATGAATCAAGACGCATGTGTTAAAAATATACATTTTTATTTTGTTTTGTTAATTCTGTTAATCGTATATTCTGGTATTATGAACTGCCCACCCAGAATTTTGGGGGGAATGGGCAGCTATAATAATTTAAATAAGAATAAGAATCTAAATTCAGAATTTGAAGCAGGGAAATTGGAAAAGACTTAAAGACTAGTTACAAACTGCTTTTCTATTCTATTCTGTTCTGTTCAGCCCCAAAGCATGTTCTTAATTATTGATTCATTTAACATAAACATAAACTTTATTTTTTCTTTTTTTGAAGAACAGTTTGCTGCCTGAGGCAGAAGAACAAATGCTACCTTCTTGATTCAAGGTGCACAAAACCCAAGTTATTTGGACCCAAAGCAAAATAAAGAAATGTACAATAATCAATTAAACAACCAATGATTTCTTGCCCCACTGTGTCACTAACAATCTACTACCTAGGGCAGCAGACTCATTCTTTTTCGTGTCCCTTAATATTTTCAGGATCATAAACAAGGCTAGGAAATCTACATCTTTGCTAAAATGAACCAACAAAAAATGGCAATAGATTTAAAATGCAGAGTAGTCCATTATTTACCCTTATATGCACAGGGAGACAGCAGGCTAGGCAAAACTTGACATAGCAGGGGTGTCAAACTCGCAGCCCTTGGACCGGATGCATCATGCAGTGGCCACATCCATGTCTGGTTTAGCAAAGGGGGGGAACTTGCAATACATCACGTGACACCACCATGACGACCCGGGTTTGTCACCTCTGACTTATAGTGTCCTCCATCCCTGCTCATATCATTTCACTTTCACTTACATGAAAGTCTTCATGAACTAGAAACAGCTATTTTAAGTAAATACTAAACTGTTACTAAATGGAATTGCCAAGTGCAACACTCCTGCTTTATATCTAAGTATAAGCCTAGAATTAACAAAATAGAAATCTAGCTTATTTCTCATGGTAGTATGGACATGGAAGAAAAGGGATCATCCAAGTCCCTTTACTTTTAGATCTGTGATATTTAGGATTATATATACATTATCTGGTAGGGACACGGTGGCTCAGTGGCTAAGACGCTGAGCTTGTAAATCAGAAAAATCGGCAGTTTGGCGGTTCGAATCCCTAGCACCGCATAACAGAGTGAGCTCCCGTTACTTGTTCCAGCTTCTGCCAACCTAACAGTTCAAAAGCATGTAAAAATGCAAGTAGAAAAATAGGGACCACTTTGGTGGGAAGGTAACAGTGTTCCGTGCGTTTAGTCACGGTGTTTAGTCATGCTGGCAACATGACCATGGAGAGCTCTGGCTCTTCGGCTTTGTAACAGAGATGAGCACTGCCCCCTAGAGCCAGAAACAACTAGCACATACGTGCGAGGGGAACTTTTATCTTTACCTTATACATTATCTATATTCTGAATGTGAAATGAAATTTGTATGAAGGGAAAATGGACAAATGGGTAACTACATGTTTTTCAAATTAAAGCTATTACACCATAAATTTTCTTCACTTAAAATATCAACATCTGATTATTTAAATCAAGGTCTTCAAACTTGGCAAGTTTAAGACTTGTGGACTTCAACTCCCAGAATTCTTGAGCTAACATGACTAGAGGAGGAATTCTGGGAGTTGAAGTCCACAAATCTTAAAGCTGTCAAGTTTGAAGAGCCCTGATTTAAATGCTAAACCTTCATAATATATAAAATTATTTTTGCAACCAAAATGGAACATATTCCAGAAACAGGAAGAACATAAAAGGTGAACAGTTTCCTTAAGGTTTCCTGGTGGGTCCTATTCATAGATTTAGATAGATTTAATACACAGTGTTAAAGTTTGAATGGTTTCAAAGCAGTATCTGGGTAAAGATAATTTTAGAAAACACCACTTTGGGCTTTTATGAAAAGGTTAAAGATATAATGATGCAAGATGCTACCAATTTTCATTTATTCTGCTTTAATGACTACAAAGTATTTTAGCGGAATATCCTTTCACACACAATCAGAACTCTAATAAGGGAGTGTTTCTGTTCTTGAGGAAAACATTATTCAGCCCTGGTCTTTTCGCCAATCAGCTATGTTAGGACAATAAACACAAGCTGCAGCCATTGTTAACTTTAGTATTGAATTTGGTATTTAAGATTCGTTTGCATACCCTTTTTAGTAGTGAATTAACTATTTTTTACTACATGAAAATCCCTCATATTATCTGTCTTTGTTTTGTATTCGAAATGACTTATGAGGACTACAACAAATTAAAGATGTACTAAATTTACCCATTTCAGGATTTGTTTTTCATACTATTAATTGATATTCTAAGTCTAGTTTATGTCTAGTCTATGTTCTCAAATTCTTGTTAGATTCCTAAACACAGATTGGTTTACCATCTGGATGTATTTCAATAAGGTACTAAAATCACTAGGGAAAAAATCTGCACTGATTTATAATAGATTGTGTTATTATTCAATATGATCAGAGTGTACCTTAATGTAAATCTATGTGTCTTTAGATAATACTTTTTCAGAATATTATTAGGTTTAAAATGGACCAGGAAGGATTATACCTTTTAGCATACTTTACCTAAAAATATGAGATACTATGTAATATACAATTTCACATGGTAGTTAAACTCATATACTAACCATGGTGAGTTCTTTATATTTAAAGAACAAGATAAACATGTGGGCTATTAAGCAGAAATTTGGAATTAATATGTATGAATCCATATATGCTGTTAGTAAATCCACAATTAAATTTTCCACTGTTGAATTTTAAGGAAGGCAGATGAATCATCATATTAAGGTAACTTTTCCAATTCCAGTTTCCTTAAGGTTTCCTGGTGGGTCCTATTCATAGATTTAGATAGATTTAATACACAGTGTTAAAGTTTGAATGGTTTCAAAGCAGTATCTGGGTAAAGATAATTTGTGCTAAAGAGTATGTTTTAGAATTCATTGGATGTGTACCATGCCAGGGAAGGTTACTCTACACTTCCTCTAATGTAGAGCTGTCAAACTCCCAGCCCATGGGCCATATGCATCACACACTGGCCACACCCACACCCAGTTTAGCAAATGGGGGGAAAGTCCCGATGTATCACGTGACATCACCGTGGCGATGGGAGTTTGACACCCCTGGTCTAATGAGAGAAAGTGATTAACTCTACATGTGTGTCATTTCAGGTGATTCCTCTAAAGTAGCTTGTAGTGTGAAACATTGCAATGATATTACTAGACTTCTGTTACTTTCTGAAATTTGTGCAACATAAATTATTTTTCATGACTCATTTTATCCTTAGTGCTGCTTTAATCACAGATGTAAAATAAAGTATACCTGCAATAAGAAAATGGAATGTAAATAGATGTAAAATGCATGCATACAATAAGAACACTGAATGCTGGAAAATTTCAGTGAACTTCCTGGTATTCTTGATTATTTTTCAAATTTGATTTGCTGCAGAAAGATTGGCTTTTTAATCCTGTGTGAAAACATCCTGCTTCAATGGAACAATCAAATATACTTTCTTCATTTCAAGATGTTGGTTTTATTTTTGCAAGCATAAATAGTCAACATATATTACAATTCTCATTGACATTTGGTCTGAAGCCATCTTCTCAGCATCAGCTGTGGTTTCATGTATTTCCTTCAAATAAAGCCCACAGCATCCATATATGGAGCACAGAGTTTACAGCTGATGCCACAAGAGACAAATCTACAACTTGTTCTAAGAAAAATAAAAGCCTAATTTCTCCCATTTCTCATTTCCACAGCTGAACTTCATGGCATTCTTGTTCCTTAATATAGATGCATCCTGTGAAATGTTAGTAGAGAATGGGCTATTCAGACATGCTTTTATTTAGTATCCAGGTTCTGTTTCACTTGGTTTCTTTCCATCCAATTATTCTTCCGCAATTACAGAGCCAGAAAAAAACAGAAAGTTTTGCATTTCACATGAACAACGTACTTGCCCATCCCTTTCTTGACCTTATTCAAGCCAACTAACACCAACACAAAGACAAACATTAGAAACAAGAACAGATAACAATGATGCATAGTAGATATTGGAGTGCAGGGGTCCCCAACCTCTGGATTGTGCCCAGGGGTGGGATTCTAGCAGTTCATACCTATTCGCTAGAACCGGTTGTTAACATTATAAGCAGTTCAGAGAACTGGTTGTTAGAACAAATTACTGGCCTAATCCTGTAAGGAAGGCAGGAAGGAAACATTCTGGTGTTGCTTACAGAAACCGCCTCTCAATTAACCCTTATTACATTCTTGGCAGGACTAGACTTCCTGTCTCAGGAACTTCTCTGGAGTTTTTTTCTCCTCTTTTGCTGGTACTTTGCTTGTGTAGAGTGACCATTCAAAGTTACAATGGCACTGAAAAAAGTGACTTATGACCATTTTTCACATTTACGACTGTTGCATCATCCCCACAGTCATGAGAGGCCAGGTGAAGAGATGCATGCCTCTGTGTGAGTGATATTGAGTTGGCCAATAACATGACCACCAAGCCACGTCCATCCGGTCACATGACCACCAAGCCACGCCCACTTCTGTTACTTTCTGAAATTTGTACAACATAAGTTGTACATCCACAGAACCGGCTGTTAAAAAATTTGAATCCCACCCCTGGTTGTGCCCAACAACCAGGTTGTGGCCTGTTCAGAACCGGGCAAGGGTGGGATTGAACCGGTGTCATAACCAGTTCGGTGAGCGCATGCTTTGCTCTCAGATAGTTCAGATAACACCTGTTCTGATAAGATAGCATTTTATATTGCATAGAATTTTATTTTAATATTGCATAGGATTTTCACACAAGTTCATCCATGCATTTGTAATAATTTGTTGGAATAAAAACAATGAATGGACTTTCCATCATAATTTTAATTTTTAAATTTTCTCTTTGTATAGTTTATATAGTTATATATAGTTACAAGGAATCCATTTTTCCCCCAGAATATATTCAGTTGTAACTGGTTTTTATATTGTGGTATTTTTAAGCTTTACAGCAACATCAACTTTACTAGATAATTAACCAATTTATTATGGCAAGTGTGGTATTAATAGTGCTGATTGAGTGATGTATGCAGTACAGTTAAAAGAAATTAAAGACACCATCATTGCTAAATCACTGCCATCAAATCTGAACTGTAAACATATGAATTCATTTACTTATAACAATGTCAACTATAAGAGAAAATGTAATACTGAAGGAAAGGCTTACGTGTCATTATTGTCATAGTAATAACGGCAAGTATTTATCTTGGTTTGGCAAGTTAACTTTTTGTTTAAATAGTTGGCTTTGCCTAAATAGAATGTGGTTTCCTGAAACCCACAGTAACTCCTGCCCCCTGTCTTGTGTTATTGCACAAATGCTGAACCATAATCATGTGGTATAAATGATTAATGTAGGCAATATTATTGAGGTTTAAATAATGTCTTCATTTTCATTCTTTTCTTGGCCACCGTACATACCATCATTAAATGGTAACCATTTGATATTACACGGAAATGCCTTTCTTTTCAGCATAACACCCTCACTTGATTCTAATGTCTTGATTGATTCTAATGTCCTGATTGATTCTAATGTCCTTGCAATCCTACACACACTGCCTTGAGGAATCCTCCTTAGGACTGCTTCATATCCCTTAAAACCAAACATGATACAGAGTGAATAAAACCTCAATTAAAGCATAACTATGCTGTATGTAGCTAATAATATTTGTAACTCAGTATATGTAATTAATGTTAAAACATCTTCAAGATGAATTCATGAATTTGGTCATATAATTCCTAAACAACAGTGGGAAATGGGCTGCCATTACAACTCTGGGATTTTCTGTAAGGAGCGCTTGTAAGCAATCCTGGTCTTCTCATTGCAGAGAGAAGATCCATTCACTGGCTCCTCTTTCGATGGTGGTCATTGTCTACACTCTGCAGAGCTGTCTTCAGTCTATCGTTGTTTCCCTGTTTGTTGAAGTTATAATGATTGACCCTTTTTAATAAGTTACTGCAGCACAGTATCTG